AGTGAAGAATTTTCCAGAAGTTAGGAGTCCAGCTAGCCTGGGTTACACAGTATAGCCTGAAGAAACAAGAAACTTCACCTCAGAAAAACCAGATTGAAGGAGAGAACTACCTGGAGTCAAGTTGTGTTCACACATCACATGTGCACTGTTTGATGTGCACATCTGCACTCACACAAAACAAATTATTTTTAAAAGGCAAGCTGGAAAGATGGTTTATCAGTTAACAATGTCTATTGTGCTGGGTGCAATCAGTCACACACCTTTATCCCAACACTGGGAGGCAGCAGCAGGCAGATCTCTGAGTTCAAGTCCAGTTTGATCTACTTAGTTCCAGGGTAGCCAGGGCTACACAGAGAAACCCTGTCTTGAAAAATCCAAGGGGGAAAAAAGTATATTGCAATTACGAAGGTCCCAAGTTCAGTTACTGGCACCCACAACAGGAGGATCGCATCTATCAATACCTCTAATCCAGGGAATCTGATACCTGGACTCTTTGGGCAGCTGCACATATATGCAGTTTTTTAAAAAGACAAGTTGGGATACTGTAAGTCTGTATTCCCATATATGTATCTTGGTTGTATAATGAAAAAAAAAAAAAAAAAAAAAGCACACAGTCCAGGTTCTCTTTATGGTTTGGTGAGTTTCACATGCCTTTAAGGCAGAGGCAGGCAGATCTCTGTGAGTTCCAGAACAGCCGTGGCAGTTATACAGAGAAATACTGTCTCGATAAAAACAAAACCGCCACAACAAAAAATTGTGTGTGCGTGTGCCACAGTGCATATAGTAATTGGACTTTTAGAAATTGGTTCTCTTCATCTATAAGGCAAAATCACCTTTTCTTGTACTTTGTACACTGTACTAACTGAGTTTCCTAGTTTCCTAGCAATTTTCATCTTGCTGTAAGATTGCTAGGATTACAGATGCACCCTCCCACTTCTGGCTTTATGTCATGCTTGCCAGGAACAGAAACTCAGTTGTAAGGTTTACACAACTTGAACTTCTGCTACTCTTCTTTTCTAGCCCTGGTGTTTTCTTTCCCTTTTTCCTTTTTTTTTTTTTTTTTCAGAAAGGGTCTCTGTAGTCCTGCCTCCCAAGTGCTGAGATTTATTTTTATTATTTGTGATTATTTGTAGGAATGTGTGTGCAATGTGTGTACAGGTACCTGAGGAGGCCAGAGGCATCCAGTTCCCTGGAACTGGAGCTACAGTTGTGGGTCTAACGCAGCCCTTTGGAAGAGCAGCAGCAAGTTCTCCTAACTACTGAGCAATCTCTGTAGCCCCTAGAGTTAAATTTCTCAAGCTCCAGAGAAATAGGTGTCCTAGAAGTTCTTCGGTGGCCCACACTGTGTCTAGCCAGAGGTCAATCTTGGGTATTATTTCTCAGACACTCTCCACCTTGTTTTTGGTTTTTGTTGTTTTGAGATAGTGTCTCTCATTTCTCTAGTGCTCACTTAGTAGGGTAGGGCTAGGCTGCCTGGCTGTCCAGCAAGCCTCAGGAATCCCCCTGTGTGTCTCCCTTGCCCTGAAATTAGAAGCACACATCCCAGTACCAGTATTGGGAGAGTTCTGGAAATCCAACTCAGGTCCTCATGCTTGCGTGATAAGCACTTTAACCAAGTGAGAGACCTCCCTGGCCCTCGCCCATGTTTTTCTGTGTTAACAACTGGAAGGTATGTCTACACTGGCTTCACGGGTTTCTTTTAAACCTTTTCTATTTTTTTTTTTTAATAGTTGATACAAACTTCAAAGGCAAAACAAAATACAAAAGAATTCCGTAACTATAATATACACATGTATATTAAGCACTAGATGTAGTACACAGTTGTAATCCCAGGTGTTCTGGAGGCAAAGGGGGGGGGGTCGCAATTCAAAGCTAGATGGGCAATTTAGCAAGACCTTGTCTAAAAATAGAGGGCTGGGGTGTGGTTCAGTAGTAAAATGCTTACCTAACACATGCAAGGTCTTGGATTTAATCTCTAGTACCTGAAAGACAAAAAAAAAGCATTGTTTCTCAGATAAGTTTTAGAATTTTATTGTGTTTGTGCATGGCCTAGTGCACATGCATGTTAGTGCATGGGTAAAGAGGCCTGCCTGGAGGTGGTTCTCTCCTGCCACCTTGTGGAATCTGAAGGTAAAATGCAGGTCTTCAAGTCTTGGCCTCCTTCTGTATAATTGGCCCTGGAAAAGTTGGTGAGAAAAATCATAATATTCTTTCTTCTCTTAAAAGAACTACATTTATACTGTTCTTGGATTCACTGAGATATCAAACAAATTTGATTACTTAAATTGACCATTTTCAAGCTAAATGATGTGGTACACACTTGTACTACTATGATACAGTGGTGATAAATTCCAGTCCACCTAGGCTACCTGGATAAGACCCTTATCTTAAAAATATATGCATTTATTTTCTTAGTTCCCAATTCCTCCCTCCCCCGTTTTTTATTGTTGTTGTTTAGGGTTTTTTGTTGTTTTAAGACAGGGTGTCTCTGTGTAGCCATGATTGTCCTGGATTTGCTTTATAGAGTAGGCTGGACTCAGACTCAACAGAGATCACCTGCCTCTGCCTCCCAGAGTTCTATGATCCCAGGCATGCACCACCACACCCAGCTAGTTTTATTTTATTTGTTTTGTTTTTGAGATAGGGTTTCTCTATGTGTCCCTGACTGTTCTAAAACTGGAATTGTAGACCAGGCTAGCCCCAAACTCAGAGATCCACCTGCCTCTGCCTTCTGAGTACTGAGATTGAAGGCATGTACCACCACTGCCCAACAGCATTATTCATTTTAAGAGCCTTACAAGACTGGCTTGCATTACTAAAAACCAAAGCTTTAAGTCAGCTACCCTTTTGTTAATTAGCAAGTATCTTCAAACTCCAGAAACAGAATTTGCTGGGTTTTCTATTGTAACTTTCCAGGTATTTTCCATTAGAGAGCTATGATAACTCTAGAAAACTAAAGAAATTGATTTCAAGATATTTCTTGAAAGAAGACGGTCAGCTTTTTTATATACTAGAACTAGAGACTTCTGTGTCCTTTCCTTCTACAGGCCTTACTTTTGTTTTGGTTTTTCTGTTTTGGTTTGTTTTTTTTTGGGGGGAGGGGTTGGTTGGTTGGTTAGTTTTTTGAGGTAAGGCTTCTCTGTAGCCCTGGCTGTCCTGGACTTTCTTTGTAGACCAGGCTGGCCTCGAACTCATAGAGATCCACCTGCCTCTGCCTCTACCTCCTGAGTGCTGGGATTAAACATGTGCACCACCATGCCTGGCCCTGGGCTTGAGTTTTTTTTTTTTTTTTTTTGGGGGGGGGGGGGGCGGACCCATGTAAAGGTAGAAGGAGAGGACCAACTCTACAAAGTTGTCATGCCTCAAAGAAGAAAAAAGATAAACTATGTTACATTAATAGTTTTTCTGGTGCTTTTTTTATAAGTAATCCTCAATCTTAGAAATAAATTATAAAGTAAACTAGGTTGAATAACAGTGATTTCTGGGCTTAGGGCTGTAGCTCAGTGCCTAGCGTTCTCAAAACCCTAAGTTCAATTCTTAGTACTGCCATCGGGGAGGGAGAGGTGAGTTGCCTGGAGATACAGTATGGTTGGTAGAGTACTCACTTGTATTTCTTGCACATTGTACAATGCCCTGTGTTCAGACTTTTAGCACCAAATAAACTATATGTGGTACATACTATCTTCCCAACACTCAAGGAGGTAGAGACAGGATCAGAAGTTCAAGATCATCCTCTGCTACATTTTGAATTCCAGGCCAGCCTGGGGTGCATGAGTCTATCAAGCCCGAGATCCACATGAAGCTGACTCCAATAAATTGTCGCCTGACCTCCTTGACTCCATACACATACAGGGTGAATAAATGCAGCAAAAGAACTTCTTTTAAAGTTTGAGCTGCAAATTTATGACAGCATTCAAGAAGAGCAGTGTGAAAAACAAAGACCTTTTTTTAAAAAAGCTGGACATGGTAGCACACGTCTGTAATCCCAGCACTTGAAAGTTAGAAACCAGATTAGGAGCTCAAAGTCAGCCTGGGCTATATGAGACCCTCTCAGCCTGCTACGTGGTGGCACACACCTATAATCCCAGCACACAGAGAGGTGGGGGCAGGTGGATTTTTGTGAGTTTAAGGCCAGCCAGGGCTATACAGAGAAACCTTGTCTTGGAAAAAGAGAGAGAGGACCCTGTCTCCAAAGAAAAAGTAAGATAATTCAATATTTGTTACTGTGATTTAACATACAATTTTAGGTTCTATACTTTGTGGCAAATGGGTATTAGGAGTTAATATAAATTAGACTTAGTATAAAAGTTGTAAATGGAGCTGGAGAGATGGCTCAGAGGTTAAGAGCACTAGCTGTTCTTCCAAAGGTCCTGAGTTCAATTTCTAGCAACCGCATGGTGGCTCATAACCATCTACAGTGAGATATGGTCCCTCTTCTGGTGTGCAGGCAGAACATTGTATAAATAATAACAATCTTAAAAAAAAAAAAAAAAAAGGTTGTAAATGGAGCTATAAGAATTCAGAAGTTTTGCCAGCCAAGGTGGCACACACCTTCAATCCCAGCACTCAAAAGACAGAGGCAGGCTGGTCTCTGAGTTCAAGGTCAGCCTGGTCCACATAGTGTGGATTTGAGGATAACCAAGACTACACAGAAACACTGTCTCAAAAAAAAAAAAAAAAAAAAAAAAAAATCAGAAATTCCTCCCAACATTGTGGCATACACCTGTAATTCCATCACTAGGAAAGCTTCCCTCACTGAGGACAGCTTAGACTAACCAAGTCCTCATCCAAAGGGAAAGAACAGAAAAGACGATTTTGCTGTGAGATTAACAATGTGGCTTGCGCCCTAGCAAACATTAAAACATGACTGTGAGTTGGAGATTAGTAGCACATGATAAGCACCATATATCCAGTGACTTCCCTGGTTTCCTCAACATCCAGATACTAGTCTAATCAGTAAATGTGCCCTGATGCACTTTTTCTTTCCTTTCATTATGTAGTAGCGTCACCCTTTACACCGGAAAGCTGGCGGGTACTATGGGGAAAAAACAAAACAAGAAGAAAGTGGAGGAGGTACTAGAAGAAGAGGAAGAAGAATATGTGGTGGAAAAAGTTCTTGATCGGCGAGTTGTCAAGGGCAAAGTGGAATATCTTCTAAAGTGGAAGGGTTTCTCAGAGTAAGTTTCATTGACAGAGGTAAATTCAGTCACTGTGAAGTTAAATGATGTGCTTGCTACCAGTTCTGAGATGGGTACACCTTGTTTCAGTCCTAACCTCCACAGCTGATAGTCTGCTGAGGAAGGATCCACGTGCGAAGTACTGTAATATATGGCAGAGTTTTTGTTCTGTGTGGGCATGTTTGCCATGTAAATACTGGGAGAAATCAGGTCTTCAGGCTTAGCAGATGGCTCCTTTTTCCCATTTAGCCATCGTGCCAGCCTAAGGCTGATTTCTGAGGAGCAATTCGTATAAGATAGTCCACTTTTGCAAAGCAGTATTTCCTTGAAGAGGGCAAGTTTCTAAGCCTTTGTTCTGTACCCTCCCCTACTAGGAAAACTCATCTTGAACAAAAATCTAGCTGTTCATTGTCATTTAACTCTTCCAAGAGAGCTCTTCTCTTAGTATTAAAAAAAAAAAAAAAGTTAATTTGAAGTCGGTGGCACATGCCTATAATCCCAGTGTCCTGGGAGGCAGAGGCAGGCCTGGTCTACAAAGTGAGTACAGGACAGCCAGGGCTACACAGAGAAACCCTGTCTCAAAAAAAAAAAAAAAAAAAATCAAACAAAAATGTTGATTTGAATAGCAAGTATAACTTGCTGTGTTTGCTGATTTCAGTGAGGACAACACATGGGAGCCAGAAGAGAACCTGGATTGTCCAGACCTCATTGCTGAGTTTCTGCAGTCACAGAAAACAGCTCATGAGACAGATAAATCAGAGGGAGGCAAACGCAAAGCTGATTCTGATTCCGAAGATAAGGGAGAGGAAAGCAAACCAAAGAAGAAGAAAGAAGAGGTAAGGCTAGAACTAGGAATCTTCAGCCAGAGGCCTGGTAATTCTAGCAGTTTGGTTCCATCTCCTAGCCTCCCCTTCATATTTTTTTTATTCTTTTTAATTTTTCTTTTAGATAAGATCTTGCATAGAAGCCTAGGCTGGCCTGTAATTCAGTATATAGCCCCAGCTGGCCTCAGATTTGTGGCAGTCCTCCTTTTGTAGCCTCTAAGTGTTGAGATTACAGGTTTGAGCTGCCATACTGGACTTTCTTCCTTTGAATCTCAGAAGTTATGTCCTTTCTTTCTATAGAAATAAGCTGATGTTTTAAAAGAGTTTGGGGTTAACTCTACACACCTGTAATCCTAGTACTCAGGAAGAGGGAAGCAGGAAAGTCGGTGATCAGAGGCCTGGGTTATAGGAGACCTTGTCTCAGCAAAACAGTGAAACAAAAAGGATTTGGGGCATACTCTTGTGAAGTGATCTAATCTTGCTTTCCGTTATCCAAGTGCAGAAATGATAACATGTAACGTTTATTAGAGACACTTGACAGCAACTGGAGTCCTTTATTTTCAGTAGATGGCTTTCAGTGTTTTGATCATTAAAGATTAGAGGTGGCTGTCTTCTAATTTGTATCTTAAGTAATTTGCCTTTGATGAGACAGTTGTGAACATTTCTTTTGAGGTGTATGGCCCATTCATGGGAGGAGGACCTCATGTACTTCAGACTTTTGACATGTAATGTGGGTAGCAGAGGAAACCGTGAATGAATGTTTGTGATTACATTTCTTAGAAACCCAGAAATAACTTCAATCTGGATGTAGTCCTATGTCAATAAAATTGTTCTACCCATCTGGTCCTTACAGCCAGAAAAGCCACGAGGCTTTGCCCGGGGTTTGGAGCCAGAGCGGATTATTGGAGCTACTGACTCCAGTGGAGAGCTCATGTTCCTCATGAAATGGTGAGTCTACCAGTGGCTCTGTGTGGTTGTTTTTTCCCTTCTCCCCATCTGTTCTATGCCAGAGGAAAAGAGCTGGACCTTCGAAATTCCAGTCGCCCAGGTGTGAAATCTTTTAAGATGACATAGTCCTTCGATAGTGACCCTCTGCCTGACTACCAACCTGGACTCATGAGTTACAGGTAGGGGCCCTTAGGATTTTCAGATCTTTGCCCTTTTTTGTTTTGTTTTGTTTTCTTCTTTTTTGTAGGTGGGAGAGGCTATGGAGAGGAATCACGTTTCAGTTCTGTTAATAAAGAAAAAAATTCTGAAATGTGATTGAATCACCCTCTTTCTCTGCCACCTTCTTAGTAAAAATCAGGCTGCCCCATAAACAAGATTCTGCTCATGTTTGAGGGTTAGGAAAGAATTTATAGAATTTATTTTGAATGCTAATTTACAAAACCAGCCAGCAGGGGTCAGCAAGGCCTCTTCACTGTTAGTGAGCATGATGTGAGCCGCTTTCTGTTTTCTGTGTATGAGTGGGAACAGCACAGGCTTGTTCTAAATAGAAAGATGTGTAGTGTTTGTCGGCAGCATTGACAATCATCTGTTGGACACGCTTGTATTTGCTTATTTTTACGTTCTGGCAGTATAGTAGGTTTCTATGACTAGCATGTACCACATTATTACTAGGTAATGGGAAATTTTTCATCTGCATTATATCATGGGGTTATTGTCATATGATGTCCATTTTTGGCCAGAATATTGTTAAGCAGCCCATGACAGTACTTTCACAGTTTAAGGAAAAGGGGTTCAAGTCAGTAAAATTAATTATTTTTGTTTGTTTGTGTTCTGGTTGTTTTGAGACAGTTTTACTCTAGCCTAGGCTTGCCTTGAACTTGAAATCTTCCTGCCCCACACTCTGTGCTGACATTATAGGGAAATGTCACCATTCCGGACTAGGAAGAGTAAGTGTTAAGCGATTGCTAGTAAAATAGGATTCTCAAGGCTTTGTCCTTTGATTGGTCTTGAAATTTCTCTGAAACTGTTAATGTGTACTAGGTCTTCCCTAGATGATGGCTGAAAAGGTTTAATTTCAATATAGGTGAAGGTCTGTGTCACAATTAACTAACCACCTATTTTCTTCCTGTGTGTTTCTTTAGTATTTATTGAGTCTGACACTCATTTAGCTTATTTCCTGTAACTTAATTAGAGAAAAGAAAAACTGAATAATATGTTTTAAGTAGTCCAGCTAGTATACACTTGTCCTGTATATGCCAAGTATGAGTTATAGGAGTATCTCCATATTTTGTAGGATTGCGTTCTTAGTCAGGTATGGTTATGCACACTTACAGTGTATGCTATAATATATGGCATAATATATATCTCAGCACTCAGATAAAATAGAAGTATCACAAGCTGGAGGCCAGTCTGGCCTAGAGTGTGATGAAGTCTTAAAAGCAGAGAACAGCCAGTCATCATCATCCACGTGTGTAATTTTAGCACTAGAGGACAACTTGGATTATAGAGTTATGACTTTCACTCAAATAACAAAACAGAAAGGGCAGGGGAGGGTGTAGGGGATTACATTCTTTAATTTTGCTGGCTCACTACTATATCTAAATTTAAGATTTGGATGTTAGGCTAGATGTGGCTCAGAGGTAAAGGTTTTGATCCCAAGCCCTGCAGAATGACAAAACAAAGCAAACCCAAACCTTTGTGATAGGGATTTGGCTTGCCTAGCATATGCAAGGCCCATGGTTTAAGCCCTAGCACCCACTCTCTTACCCACAAAAGATAGAATGTTGATTGTAAAATCTAAGTTTTAAAAAGTTACACATGGCTAGGTGTGGTGGTTGCATACCTTTGATCCCAGCACTCAGAAGTAGAGGCAGTGGATCTCTGCTAATTTGAGGCTAACCTGTTTACATATCCAGTTGTAGGACTACATTGAACAGCCGTTTTCAACCTGTGGGTCATGACCTTTTCAGAGGCCTAACAAACCTTTCACAGGATTCCCAATTCAGATGCCCTGTTTATCAGATAGTTACCGTATGATTTATAACAGGGGCAAAATTACAGTTGTAAAATATCAACAAAATAATTTTGTAGTTGGGGTCATCAAAGCATTAAGAAAGTTGAGAACCACTGACACTCAAAACAACAACAAAAGTGATCCATGTACACACCATGGTTCAGTGTGATTGTAAAACACTTCCTGAGCATACACATGGCCTTGGCTTTCGTTCTTAGCACCACATACATGTACTTTAAAAATATATGTATGATGGGCTGGAGAGATGGCTCAGCATTTAAGATAACTGGCTTCTCTTCCAGAAGACTCAGTTCCCAGCACCTACATGTAGCTCACTAACTTATGTAACTCTAGTTCTAGGGATTCAAATACCCTCTTCTGGCCTCCAAGAACACAAGACATGCATGACATGTACATACATATATGCAGGCAAAACACTCATACACATAAAAAATTTTTTTTAATTATAACATGATTTTCCAGGAAAGTGGAGATTCCTGTCCATTTCTGAAAATAGAAAATATTTCTAAGTAGTAAAAGAACTTAAATTGAGAGCTATGGCCTAGGCACCTGTAGGATTCAATGTGCCCCACCTTCTTGGTATAGTTTCTTGTGGAACCTTACCCAGATTAGCTTATTCTCTAGTTCCCTGTGGCTTTGAATTCTTGTTCATTCATGGTCAGGTTCTAGAGGTTTGAGGTGGTACCTTGCTACATTCTGTCATGTATCTTTTGCCTACACGCCATGCCACTGCCTCTGAATGGGACAGGCTCAGTGAGTTGAAGATAAATGGATAAGAGTTTTACTTCTAGTTACTCCCTATAATGAATATCATTTTTAGAATTTAAGAAAATTTGGCTGGGCAGTGGCAGCACATACTTTAATCTCAGCACTCCGGAAGCAAAGGCAGGCAGATAGATCTTTGTGGGTTCGAGGCCAGCCTGATGTACAAATCAAGTCCAGGACAGACAGGGCTACACAGAGAAACCCTGTCTCAAAAAACAACAAAAAGACCATCAAAATTTGGGAAAATAATAGTTACTTTATAGTACCCTCTTTTTCTACCTTCCCATGTTGGAACAATCTTTTACACTACATGGATGTGATTGAGCAGGTGGTATTTGGTGGTGTTAAACAGTGTTTTATGAGTAAACAAGAATGTGCCAGATTGGTATTAAGTTCTCTTTCAAAGTCAAGATTTCTGTGGGATTTCTGGCTGGAGTTAGAAAAGTAAGGCACAGCTTCTTGTCTACCCTCCGAAATGCTTTTTGTTGTTTTTTGTTTGAGACAGGGTTTTTTTTTTTTTTTTTTTTTTTTTTTTTTTTTTTTTTTTTTTTTTTTGGTGTAGCTCTGGCTTTCCTGGGATTCTCTCTCTCTATAGACCAGGGTGGTTTCAAACTCAAAGATCCACCTGCCTCTGCTTCCTGAGTGCTGGGATTACAGGTGTGTGCCACCATGCCCACCATTTTATCCTTTTTTTTTTTTTTTTTAAGATAGTGACTGGTCTCTCTTAGGCCTTTCTTAAAGGTTTTAAGTACAGTAATGTAACCTAATCTGGTTTCCGTTTTGTTTTATTAATCTGCATGTATACCTGCAGGTAGGTATACAGACCTACCTGTATAGGTATACAGAAGAGGGCATCAGACCCCAGTATAAATGGTTGTGAGCCACCTTGTGGCACGTGGGTGCTGGGACCTCTGGAGGAACAGACAGTACCCTGAACCACTGAACCATCTCTCCAGTTCACCCTTAGAGGATTTTTTAACAAGGGAAGATCTTTAGATCTTTGGGGGTATTGTGACAAAACTTGCCCAGTAAATGCTGCTTGCATCCTGCTTTCTTAAATTTTGTTTCTGCAGTTAACTTTTAAAGCCCCATTCCCTGGGTGGTCCTAATTAGTAGGCCACAACAGCTGATCTCAAAGTCTCTTTATGCTTTGTTCTGCAGGAAAAACTCTGATGAGGCTGACCTGGTCCCTGCTAAGGAAGCCAATGTCAAGTGCCCACAGGTTGTCATATCCTTCTATGAGGAAAGGCTGACGTGGCACTCCTACCCCTCAGAGGATGATGACAAAAAAGACGACAAGAATTAGCCCTCTTGAGTGCCCACCCCTGTCACCTTTGACTGTGGGTTTCCCGTGGGGAGGGAAGGAGTTGTACCTGTCTTGACCCCATAGGGGTGGCTTGAGAAGATGTCCTTTGAAGAGCCAGCATAGTTTCTGTGCCCTGCAGCAGCCCAAGTGCTTTACATTGTTCAAGCTGTATAGTCTGCACACCTATCCCAGTGGAGGGGAAAGGGTAAGTGTTTCAAGGCAACCAGTTCTGCGCTTTCTTAAGAAAGTGGAGGGCCTTCCATGAAGGACAAAACCTGCAGAACCGGGGTGTGGGAAAGCAAGATACTGTCGACCTTCAAAGAGCATCTCCACAACCCACAGCCTTCTTCCCAATAGTGTTAACTGCATTTTTACAGCCTAGCATGTGTGTAGTTTTTGGCTATTACTGGTATATTAATTGGGGTGGGAGGGTTGGGGCAGGGAAGGGAGATGGGTAGAATCATTTTGGTTAAAATTTGGGGCCTGATTGGGGAAATGGTGAAACAGTAGAAAGAACATATAACTAATAAATTGGTTCTATGTTGAGAATATTTTGCCTTTTCAAAAAATGTCATTTGCACCATAAATGAGGACTGTAAGAGACTGTTAAAAAAAATCCTGTGAATGCTGAAACCTACAGCCAAGGTGCTCCCTACCTGAGCTCATTGTGGCCCACAGAGGACAAAGCCAGTTCCCTGAATTACCAAAGCTGCCATTGGATGACGGAAACAGACTGAAGAGGGAAAGTTTTACTGGGGAGTATATACAGGCAGACCATTCTATTCTGCCTTAGAGGTGCTAATTCCTGAAATTGGATGGGGAAAAACAAAAATGTTTTTTCAATTACAAAGTTATAAATATCAGTTTGTCCATCCAAGCCATTGGCTCAAGTGTTGTAGGAGGGCCTGTGAGAGATGGGGAGATGGGAGCCTGTGCTCCTGGGGCAGAAACTCTTGGGGCCTTTGGGCCTTTCTTTTTTTTTTTTTTTTTTTTTTTTTTTTTTTTTTTTGCTTTAGGGGCTTGGTTTTTTTTTTTTTTTTTTTTTTTTTTTTTTTTTTTTTTTTTTTTTTTTCTGTTTTTCAAGTTTTGAAACCTGAAACTGCTTGTGGCGGGTTCAGTTACCGACAGCACAAATTTCATTGAGTCAATTCAAGGGTTGAATGACTTCACAAGCCCTGGTCTCAGGAGATTAACTTTCATATTGGGTTAGTGGTACACTTGAGAATACAAAATATTCAGATTAACTGATGTCCAACATACTGTCTTGAATCATGAGATCCATTAATTTTTAGTATTGTCTAAACCTACATAGAACTACAATGTAAAATCTTTTTAAGCATGTGTTAGATGTATGTGAAAAAAATTGTTTTAAGTGTAAACTTCATACCATATTGTCAGTTTTTGTCTTAATAAAACTATAGATTTATAATTCTTGATTTCTGTCTTTTTTTTTTTTTTTTTTTAAAGAGTAGCTCTCCTTCCCCTGAGTTGCTCAGTCTGGCCTAGAATTTTGAACCCTGTGCCTCCTCCCAGATATGGAATTACTGGTGCACGCACTACCACAACGGGAATGGTTAACTCACCAGAGGCCCCTCTTGCCTCAGTTCAGGTTACTAGAAGTTTCCATGGCTTCATGACTACAGGTGGACACTGTAGGCTGAAAATCTGGTGCTCTAATCTTTTAAATGGTCTCAGTTTATTAATGTAGTAAGTACTTGAGCATTTATAATTGCTGCACATGTTAAGAACTGTTACATCATTCTGTCTTTCATATTGCTGGGAAATTATTTACTGATAATACTTCCAAATATGGCTTATTTGAAAATACATGTTTTGGGCTGGAGAGATGGCTCAGAGGTTAAGAGCACTGGCTGCTCTTCCAGAGGTCCTGAGTTCAATTCCCAGCAACCACATGGTGGCTCACAACCATCTATAATAAGATCCAGTGTCTTCTTCTGGCGTGCAAGTGTATATGCAGATAGAACATTGTATACATAATAAATAAATAAAATATATATTAAAAAAAAAAAAAAAAAAAAAAAGAAAATACATGTTTTATGGAGTAGCTTAATCAATTGGATGATTTAGCAAATATCAACACCAAAAAGTTTTAGGAATTTGCACTGCTTTAAACACTGATTGAATGTCATCTATCTTTTTGTGGGGGTAGGGGTTCGAGACAGGGTTTATCTGTATACCGCTGGCTGTCCTGGAATTTGGCCTTGTAGACAGGCTGGTGTTGAACTCACAGAGATAGCCTCTACCTCCAGAACACTGTAGGATTAAAGGCATGTGCCACCATACCTGTTTGTCCTCCATCTTGTTAATACCATTTTTTTCTGCCTATAATCCTGGAGCCCAAATAGGAATATATTTTTTATTACTATTTAATTTTATTATCTTGCTATATGGTGTTTTGTTTGCATGCCTGTCTGTGCACCAAGTTTGTGTCCAGAAGAGCATTTGATACTCTGGAACTGGAGTTATAGGCTGTTAAGACAGACCTAATATGGGTGCTACGAATCAAACCAGGATCCTCTCCTAGAGCAGCCACTGTTCTTAACCACTGAGCCATGCCTCAAGCCCCTGTTGGTTTTGGCTCTGTCTTAATACATTAGTATGTACGCACATGTTGAAGTCAAAAGACAACTTTGTGGAGTTGGGTTCTGGGAACCAAGCTCAGATTGCTTGCTGTGCTTCATGTGCCAAACCATTTAACCCATGTTAGTGACCTAGTCCCCCCCAAGTACTAGGGTTTACAGGAATGTGTCCAAGGGCAGTTTGAAGTCTCACTGTAACCCTGGGTATCCTGGAACTTCCTGTGTAGACCAGGCTAGTCTTAAAAACTTGGGATCCTCTTGTCTCTGCCTCACAGGTGATGGGATTGTGCGAGTGTCCCACCATGCCTGCCTTGTTTTTGTTCACTTGTGTGCTTTTTAATGTGTACTGAGGGCAGGTATCTGAGGACTCAGATTCCCCTCGGAGCTAGAGCATTTTGGTCACATGTATGTCATAACCACACGCCAAAGGTGGTCAGAAGTTGTCACTGAATTCCCTGAAACTAGAGATACCTATGGTTGTGAGCTGCCACGTGGGAATTGAACCCAAGCCTTCTGGCTGTGCTCTTGATTGCTAAACCATCAAGTCCCCAGGACTCCCAGCTTGTCTCTGTATTGTTTTTAGGGTTTGTTGAGGAAGGGTCTCACTATGTAGCCCAGCCCAGGCTAGCCATGAACATGTGATCTTCTTACCTCAGACTGTTACTTTTGTTTTTTTTTTAAGGTGGTGTTATGTATATGAGTGTTTTGTCAGTGTGTGTGTTTGTATACCAAGTGCATGCCAGGTGCTCCAAAAAGAAAGAAGGAGGCATCAGCTCTCAAACTAGAGGTAAGGGTGGTTGTCAGCCATTATGTAGGTGAGTGGAACACAATCCTGGTCCTCTGCAAGAGTTACCAAGTGTGCTTAATCATTGCACCATCTCTCCAGCCCCAATCCTGAGGCCCTGAATTCATTGAAAAGAGGACACGGTTATTCTGTTTGGTGCCACCACTAAACTGAGACAACAGCTATTAAGCTCTGTTAATAACCCTTGGAACAAACTTCACAGGCATTTCTGGCATTCTTGACCTGTGGGAGACCCTTCTCATAGTCTGGAAAGATGGCTCAATGGTTAAGAGCACATACTGCACTTGGGGAAGACCCAAGTGGAGTTCCCAGCACCCAGATCAGGTGGCTCACAACCTGATCTGTTCAGTACAGCTCCAGGGGATCCAACACCCATTTTTTGCTTATGCTGGCACCTGCACCCAAGTGTACATATCCACACACAAACATACTAGTCTGTTTTTTTTTTTTTTTTAAATCTCAAGGGTGGTGGTGGCAACATGCCTTTAAATCACAGCACTTAGGCAGACACAGGTGGATCTCTGAGTTCAATGCCAGCCTGGCCTACAGAGCGAGTTCCAAGACAGCCAGGGCTACACAAAGAAACCCTGTCTGGGGGGAAGGGGAGGAAATTTGAGAATAAAATTGTCTTTAGTGATGTTGTAGCTACACATGCAAAATTGTAACTATAAATACCTACAGCAAATCTTAACTGATCTTTATCAGGAAATACTCGGATTTCTTCAGGCAGTTCAAGTTGGGAAGATGGCTCAGCAGTTAAGAGTGCTTGCTGTTCCTGTAGAAGACTAGAATTCAGTTCCCAGCACCCATGTCCTTTGGAACATAATCATCTAATTCTAGCTCCAGGAAATGGATGTCCTCTTCTGGTCTCCACAGACAACCCAACAGGTATACACATGATGACTTCCATGAGATCTCACAATCATGGACCTAGAAAAGGACTTACTAATGTGGTGACAAGGTTGTTTGCTTGGTTTTGCTTCTGTGTTCTAGCCAAGTGTTCTCCCAACTTCCCAACTGAGCTATCAGCCCCCCCCCCCCTTTTTTTTTTTTCCTTTCTAGGGAAGGTCTAAATCACAGCTTAGCACTGAACTCTCATGCCTGTGCCTCTCAAGTGCTGGGATTAGAGGTGTGGGCCAACACACAAAGCTAACATGAGAATCTTGGTGTCCTATAACTGTCAAAGCTTGGGTTGGAGAGATGGCTCAGAGGTTAAGAGTACTGTCTGCCATTCTAAAGGTCCTGAGTTCAATTCCCAGCCACCACATGGTGGCTCACAACCATCTATAGTAAGATAGATGGAATGCAGGTGTACATGCAGACACAACACTACATAATAAAATCTTTTTTTTTTAATGTCAGAGCCTGTTAGAATCTTGCTCTCCCCAACTTCAGTTAAACTTCTGTTTAATGTTGTAAGTGGACTACACAATAACTACAGAAGTATTTGAAGTACTTTTTTTCCTGTGCGTGTATATACATGTGTAGGGGTGTACACGCGTCTAAAAGCCAGAGGTTCATGTGTCTGTTTTACTGAGGCAGGCCAGTGGTACAAGTGCCATCTTTCCAGCCTTGAAATCTTTGTGCTCACTAGTACTTGAATTGCAAAGGCAAATGGGGTCTGCATTAAAAAAAAATCTACCATTTTTTTTTTTTTTTTTTTTTTTTTTTTTTTTTTTTTTTAGCAGCTGGTGTGTGTACGTTTCCAGACAGGATTCCTCTGATTAACAGTCCTGGCTGTGCTGGAACTAGCTCTGTAGATCAGGATGGCTTTGAACTCACAGAGATCTGCCTCTGCCTCCCAGTGCTGGGAGTAAAGGTGTGAGCTACCACAAACCACTAGCAGCTGATGATTTTTTTTTTCTTGAAGATATGATCTCATAAGAATTTTAGTAGGGCCAGGCCCAGCACATACCTGTGTTCCCATCACCGAGGGGCCAGAGGCAGATCTCTGAGTTCAAGGCCAGGCTGGTCTACAAAGCAAGTCCAGAACAGCCAAAGCTACACAGAGAAACCCGGGGGGGGGGGGGGGGGGGGAATGTAACCAGCTTTTTTCATGGGTGTTGGGGGATCAGTTCTTCAGGCTGGTGGCATGAGCACTTGACTAAAAAGCCATTTCCCTGACCTTGATATGTTTCTTTACGGGAGGGCATGGACATGCCATGCGCACATATGAAGGTCAGAAAACAACTTGGCAGGAGTGGGTAGTCTTGGAGTCTTAAGAGTTTATAGCTTAATTATGTTTTTATATTTGTTTTGTTGTTTTTGTTTTTCGAGACAGGGTTTCTCTGTAGCTTTTGGCCATCTTGGACTCGCTACATCTTTGTAGACCAGGCTGGCCTCTGAACTCACAGAGATCCACCAGCCTCTGCCTCCTTGAGTGCTGGGATTACAGGTGAGTACCACCACACCTGGCTGTGTTGGGGTTTTATGTGATGGGGTCCAGGAACTACCAGTCCACTTGCTTTCCCCAGCCCCCAGTGTTGGGACTAGAGGACTGCCCTATGCCTGTTTGATGCAGTGCTGGGGAGGAGACCAGGGGCTGCTTTTCTACTGGACTCCATCCCAGCTTCCTCTACTCACTTTGTTTTACCCCGACAATTTCATGTTTGCCAGTGTGCCTAGCATATCTTAATAGTCCCTTGCAACATTGTGAAACTCTCTATAAAGCATTTAGTTCTCATAATGAAAGAGAAAGAGGAAATTGTTGCTACAATACTCTGCAGCTAGAATTCTGAAATACACACCTAGCTTGTTCCTCCCTATGTGTATGCCCTGCAATTCCAAGTGCGAGGATTGCAGGTGTCACCCCTACAATCCTACATCTTGCCTTCCAAATACAAAATACAAGTCACTTAAGGCATGTGAGCAGGAGGAGTATTTCTTAGACCAGTGATTCTCAACCTTCCTAACTTTCTATGACCCTTTAATACAGTTCATGTCGCAAGCCCAACCATTTCATTTCCATTGCTGTTTCCTCACTTTAATTTTGCTACGTTATGAATCTATGAATAGTGGTACAAATATGTTTTCTGAGGGCCTAAGGCAACTGATGTAAAAGGGTCTTCCGACACCCTCCACCAGAGGTCGTGACCCACAGGTTGAGAACCACTGAGGCTCAGATGCAGATGGTATATAGCCTGGTACATATGTAGGCTATATTTGTGTGTGTGTTTCATCACTGACAAACGCAGTCACTATATGGGCTGCAAATAATGACTCAGGCTAGAGTCAGCATTCAGTAACAACTATCAGGTAAAACCACGTTTAGTGTTCTAGCTCTGACAGGAGCTTCAGATGCAGAGCTGTAACCTGTCACATCTACTATACCACTGCAATGTTCTGCAAGTCCAATCTCCTTGTCCAATCGTTTAAAAGTTCTTTGTCTCTTTTAATCAGTCACAGTCCTATAAATTGCTAAATGATGAAAGCAAATTAAAGAAAATGATCTTGATTGAAAAGAAAAGCACAATTGGCCTCTCCCCACAGGGACAAGCAGAACAAGCCATTTGCTTTGTTAGACATAGACAGCAAAGCAAGGTCCAAATACTCAGTTTACATTATGTGCTAATTTTTTTTTTTTATGTGCTTTCAAAACTTAGAATCAAACTACAGGCTGTCTGCTAGGTAAGTACTCTGCCACAGGGCTACCCTCAGCTCTGTGGGTTTGTATTAAAAAGCCTGTTTTGCATTGTGTTCTTTTTGGTGTATGGTACTTTATAATGGTACCAAAGCTATTGCTTCCCCAAATCATTTAGTTATTGATGGACTCTGTGGTAGACCAGGCTAGTCCTCCTGCCTCTATGAGTGAGTGCTGAAATTAGAACCGTGCGATACCATGCCCAGCATAAGTGTTTTTATGTAAATATGTATTCACCATGTTTGAAGGTGCCCACAGAGGCCAGATTCCCTGGAGCTGGGAGTTATAGGTGGTTGTGCGCTACATGACATGGCTGTCAGGAACCAAACTCGGGTCCTCTGGAATAGCAGCAAGTGACCTTTCCTACTGAATCTCTCCAGGGACCCCAAAATGAAATTTTTGTTTTGCTTTTGTTTTATCAATACAGTTATAGGCTATAGGGTTTCTCCATGTAGCCTTGGCTGTCCTGGAACTCGCTTGTAGACTATGCTGGCTGGCCCTGAACTCAGAGATCTGCCTGCCTCTCCTTCTCAAGTGCTGAGATTAAAAGCATGTGCCATTGCCACCCAGCCCCAAAATAAATTCTGCTCGTACTTGAAGCAGGATCGTGCAGTATAGCCCTGGCTCTCTAAAACTTGCTATGTACATAGACCAGGCTTGCCTCAGACTCACAGCAATCTACCTCTGGCCCCACCCCAAATAAAATTTTAATTTGCAGTTTGGCTTGCTTGCCTTGCTTTGTTTGCATAGTCTAAGGTCAAGCAGGCAACTTTGAGGCCTGGCACTGGCACAGTAGTCCACTGTTTCAGTTACTAGTTACCACTTCAGCCCGCACCTCAGGATTGGAAGAGATATGGCCAGCAGTTCCAAACCTGTATTTAAAACAAAAGGCACCTGGCAGTGGCGGCACACGCCTTTAACCCAGAGCACAGGAGACAGGCCGATGGACCTCAGAGATCCTCCTGGCATTAAGGTGTGCACCACTATGCCCAGCAAGTAAATCTTATTCAAAACAGACAAAATCTTTACCACAGATATGGTGGTATACACCTTCTTTTGTTTTGTTATGGGATTATTTTTATTTTTATTTAGACAGGGTTTCTCTGTGTGTAGCCTTGGCTGTCCTGGAAGCCTGCTTTGTAGACCAGGCTGGCCTCACAGAGATCCACCCGTCTCCCAAGTACTGAGATTAAAGGTGTGCACCATTAGACTGGAGAGGTGACTCAACGGTTAAGAGCATTGTCTGCTCTTCCAAAGGTCCGGAGTTCAATTCCCAGCACCCACATGGTGGCTCACAGCCATCTATAAAGTGAACTGATTCCCCCTTCTGGCATACAGGTTGTACAGGCAGTTGAGCACACATATACATAAAATAAATATCTTTTAAAAGAAAGTGTGCATCACCATTCTCGCGGTACACTCCTTTTTCAGTTCCAATACTCAGAGCTCTGGCTGCCTGGTTCAATGGTTCAAGGCCATTTTGGTCCACAAAGTAAGTTCCAAGCCAGACAAAACTACATACTAAGACCATTTCTCAAAAAACCCAATAGATAAATAAATACTTTTTTTTTTTGTAAGGCAAGCTGTGTTCTCATTCTGGAGACACAGAACACTATGTTTTTTCTAACCAATGTAAGCAGACAGTCGCTTTCAAAAGCAGCTCTACAAGGGCTAGAGCTCCACTCATTCTCTCACACAAGCCCACAGGATTCCTAAATACTCAACAGCAGAGTTCAAAACCACAGGCAAGTGTGCGGTGGGTGAGGGGAGAAAGGGTTAAAGGTGCTGGTTCATCATATATCAACAAAATGAAGGTCAGTTTGTGGGGACTCCTCACTAACCACATGGACCAATGATAGGAGAAACAGACTTAAACACTCCTACTCCTGACAGTAGGGCGTAAGGACTCTGCTACAGAATTTTCATACCTGGCCAGGTAATACATACCTGGAATCCTGGTACTTGAGAGACTAAGGCAAGAGGGATGCCATGGGTTGGCAGCCATCTTTGGCTACCAATCAAGACCAATGGCTGGAGAGATGGTCAATAATTAGGAGCACTTGCTGTTCGCTGGGTGGTAATGGCACATGGGATTAAAGAATCTCAGCACTCGGGAGGCAGAAGCATGAAGATCTGAATTTAAGAGAAGCCTGGTCTAGAGGGAGTTCGAGAATAACGAGGGCTACACAGAGAAACCTTACCTTCAAAAACAAAAGCAAAAAAAAAAAAAAAAAAAAAATTGCTGTTCTTGGAGTAAAGACCTGGGCTCCATCTATAAGGTGACTCACAACCCAAGGAATCCAATGCCCTCCCTGGCCTTTGCTGGCACCAGCACACGTGGTACACAGACACACATGCAGACAAGATGTGAGCACAACAAAAAATTAGAAATAGTTTTAAATGTTTCCACACTTGGCTCGGACAGAAGGTTGTAGAGAGACGGCCATTGCACTAATAATTGTATGTAGAACCTAACAGGGTCTCGGCATATATACCCAGGAAAGCCTCAACCTGTAGCAACCTGAGTTGGGGGGTTCTAAGTGTGTGTCCACTACTTGCAGTGGCTAGTTTCCTTTCATAGATACCGAAAAAGCCTCTGCTTCACTGGTGAGGCCCGTGTGGCACAGTCTGATGCAATGGGTCAGTCTTTTTCTAAGGGTAAGACATGGAAAAATCTTTCGGGTGAAGTTTAGGAACTGCTGAACTAAGACAAAGATTTCCCCATGCCCACCCAAGGCCCAGCTGCACAAGCAGGTTGGTCAAAACTAAGAGCTGATCTTCTGTCTGGTGCCACAACCCCTCCCTATTGTCTTAGGTGAGTGAGTTAAAGGTAGAAGCCCTCTTAAAGGCCTAATTTCTGCTAGAGGCAGTCTAGATGCCGTAAGACCAGCCCTTCCTAACTAGAAATTGAGTGTGTTAAGCAGTCAGTGTTGACACCTCAAACTCATAAGGACATCTATGGCATGGCAGCACTTTACTGTTAATAGGTCCCATGGATTTTGTTTGTTCGTTCTTCCAGACAGGGTTTTTCTGTATGGCTCTGGCTGTCCTAGAACTCACTCTATAGACCAGGCTGGCTTCAAACTCACGGAGATCTGCCTGCCTCTGCCTCCTGGAGTTCTGATTTTCCAATCATGACTCCAATCCAGTGCTTTGTGCCTCTCCAGCAGGGAAAGTTACTAGAGAAATCCACAGCACTGTCAGTCGAGCTTTAAAAATGAAGCAAGTCCTGTGAGAAGTCTCAACTGATAAACCAGGAAGAAGTCCACAGCAACTGCACGGGAGCTGAATGCAGTGAGTGTTCTGTGTTTCCTTTGTCAGCTTCCACCCACCTTCCCAAGGGAGCTCTACCTTAAACCATGCAAAGGCCAGTCTTCCCCCAACAGGGCCTGCTTCCTTGACTCTCATCACAATTTAAAAGGGGGAGGGGAGAGAGAAACTGCACTTAAGCTGAATCATCCATTTTATTTGATTTTATTTTGTCATGTGCTCACAGCATTTCTCTCTCTCTCTCCTCTCCCTGGCAGGTCACAGAGATAAATTAAAAATAAAATCTACAAGGAAAATAATTTATAAAAAGCACTCCCAGGCTCACGCTTCCTATCCCTACTGCTCAGTTAGGAGACTCCTCCCTTCTGCACAGGAAGGAGAATCAGTGCTTCCCCTGACTCACCCCTGCTAGTCTGGGGCAGACAGTACTCCAGAGCTGACCAGGAGTGGGGGGCAGCAGAGGCAAAGTTACAAAAAAAAAAAAAAAAAGAAATAAAAAAAAAAGAAAAGACAAGACACTGTGGTCCTAGAACCATCTGGCTATCTTGCTGCCCCTCACTGCCTCCCTCAGCGCTGTCCTCCAAGAGCCCAGGCTAAACAGGCTATGAAGAAGCTGCCTAAAGCCAAAAGGCTAGGGGAGGGTCATCTCCAGTTCCTTACATGCACTTCTTTTCCCAGAAAGAAACCCAAAAAAGAAAGCAAGACAAGACCTCGGGACGGAGGAGAAAAATCCCAAGTGTTTCCACAGTTACACGGAGTCTTTATGGCAAAGAGAACATTTAGCAGCTTTGAATATTGGGGCATCTCCTTTTTACTCAACACAAGCATCCTAGGCCCTATAAGTGAAACAGGGCACACGCCCTAAAACAAACAAACAAACAAAAAAAATCAAAGCGCAAGAAATTCTAAGAGGACTAGGTTTCCTTGCTGGGGTTTATAGGCTTTGTTTCCCCCTGTGACAGGCCCAGTTGTTAGTAGGCAGAGGGGCCTGAGGGAAGAGTCACTTCCCAGTGTTGTGCTGAACAGTGCCTGGAGGTCACTGAGGGCTTCTCCCTCCACACCATCCCCTTGCCTCTGTTTAGCCCCTGCAGAGGAAGCTGTAGGCCAAGTTCCGGTACTGCCAGAATAGCACCCCACTCCAGAGAGCTATAGGCAGCTAGTGAGGGTGGGTACCACAAAAGAGAGGAGATGGGGAGAACAGCATTTCCATGCAGGCTCTCATGAGGACAGTGGGAACCTCAGCTCTGGGATGGCTAGGGAGGGAGGTGGCTGAGGCAGGGCAGTGAGATCATGCTTGTTGGGGCTGCTGCAACACAGGCCTCATTAAATTCACTTCTATACCCTCTGCCCTCCTGTAGCCTGAAACCAAGTCAGTGTTGGGTCCCCCCTACAGCTTCCCATTTCAGTAACTAAAACTTTATAGGTGCCATCCAAAAGCTTCTTTCCGTTCAGGGGTGCCAGAGTTCAAACAGTTAAAAAGCCCTTCCAAGGCCCCACCATGTCTGTTTCCATAGCAATAGCTGTACCTAGGCCCACTGCAGTCACTTGCACTCACTGCCTCCAAAGCTGGCCAAAGCCCGTAACAGCCTGATTTTTTTGACTGCTTTGATTTTAGGGGTTTCCTTCCTTTTCTCCTTCCAGGAATGAGCTTTTCCACTACTTCCTCTCCTCTCCCAAGTTCTCTTTTTCCTTTTCACTGCACACAGCTCCTCTACCTCCAGCATGCCCACACCACCCTTCCCTCAGGAGAAAAGGAGTAGGCTGGGGGACCCCAATCACCCACACAGTCTGGTCATTTCCACCCACTCCCAGTGGGGCAGCTGAGCCAGACAGCGCCTGCGCCCGCCTCTTCGGTGCACTGACCCGCAGTCATCCCATCTGAGAAGATATATTGGATACGAAGGCATTTAAGTCCCCAATGTTAGGTCCAGGCCCAGCCCTTCTCCAGTTTCGGTCTTAGTGAGCATCCACCCCCTGCCTCCCCAGGCTCACTTCCTCCGGTCCTTTGGCTTTCTCTCCTGTCGCCGGGCCTGCTGGTCAGCCATCGTGCGAGGAATGAGGAGGACACTGCCATCCCCAGCATACTGAAGCGCATACTGACTGGGTGAGTAGGGCCTCCCATTCTCATCCCGCAGCCGCCCAAACACCTCCTGGTATAAACTCTGGACCTTCTGCTTCATCTGTCGAAGGGACCGCAGGAACTCTACCTTTTCTCGGAGCAATCGAGCCTTGTCTCGCTGCAAGTCCTCCACATCACGTTCTAGGTTCAGGATGGTGTCCAGCTTGCGCTTGCGGCAGTTCTGTGCAGCCATCTTGTTCTTGCCCCGGCGACGGATATCCCGGATGAGGCTCAGCTGGGCCTCGCTCAGCTGGTATTTGGACAGCAGCTCATTGAATTCCTCTACAGGCAGGTTGATGATTTTGTCATTGGTGAATGGGATCTTCATGGCTCGGGCTCTGTGCTCATCTCGGCTCATCTGCTTGTCCAGGAAGTCTGCCTGCTTTTCCTTGCTACCTTTCTTGAGGGTACTGGGTGGTGGTAGATCAGCAGAGTCAAGGGCACTGGGTGCCATATTGTACGTATGATTGTGGCCCACATGCTCTAAGTAGGGAAGGCAAGAGAGCTGAGAAGGATCCTGATAGCTCATGCGGCAGAACTTAGAGTATTCTGGCTGGTAGCCCACTGCACCCTCAGCCTCTTCTAGATCTAGGGTCTCAGAGTCAGAGCTGTAACCAACAGCACCTTCCTCAGAAAAGGAAGAAGAGGCAGAGGAGGAAGCAGAAGAGGAGGAGGAGGAGGAAGAAGAGGAAGAAGAGCTGCCTTCAGAGCTGCTCAAGGAGGAAGGACTATGGCTGGAGTCCAAGGAGAGGCCTGAGTCAGAGTCAAACTCCTCCTCAAGCTGGGAAGCCTGCACCGGATTGAAGCCCTCCTCAATGGCCAGGTCCATCAGGCTGATTTCATCCAGCATAGCTTCATCTAGCAGGCCACCCAGGGGGTCAGGCAGCTCAGGGCCTGATGTATCATTGGCCGAGCCATTGAGCTGTGATGGAAAGAAAAGCCCTGCTAGGTTGGTAGAGCCAAAGGTGGAGTTGAGACTGGTGGAGTTGCTGGGGACAAGTGGAAGCAGTGTGGAGCTGCTGGCCACAGGTAGGCTCTCCACCTCGGGGCTGAAGAGGGAGAAGTCCTGGCTGCAGCCCCCCAAGGATGCCTGATGCAGGCTGACATTCTGGTTGATAGGAGTGTTGGGTGCAAGGCTGTAGTTGGTGTTAAGAGGGTCTCCAGGAGGGGCATTGTACAGTATTTCACTTGCTGATGTATTCACTTCCATAGCCTGGAAGGGAAAATTGTACCAGCATTCAAAAGGAACAGACTAACACCCTGCAGGCACCCAACTAAAGAACAGCTCCCTGGGCAAAGGAGCAAAAAACTGTACAGCAAAGCCCCCAGCTTAGACCAACAGGCCTGGCACAGGGGGTTCCTAACTATGGACTTCACCCTAATAAAGAACTGACCAGCTCCTGTGTGGCTAGATTCACATATCGTGGCATGAAATGGAGTATACACACTGAACAGATCCCCTGCTACAAAGCTTGCTGTGTAATCACATCATAACAACTGAGGGCTAAAGGCAGCTCAGTGGTAGAGCAGGCTCCATCCCCAGCATTACAAAAAAAAAAAAAAAAATTAACCAGCAAAAAGTTATTCGATGGTGGCAGGCCAAATGGAACTGCCAGTGACACTCTTGTCACGTAGTGCTTTAGAATCAGCTAGCTGACTGCCTGCCTAAAGGAAAAGAAGTGTAACTCCATGACAGGCCATACGCGGTTATAACTCAATCCCACCCAGCCCCCAGGGATGCCTGGAATCAATCCCTCAAGAGTCCCTACTTTCCTACTGACTAGCCAGAGAAAACTGGTAACATCCCCAAGAGGGGGAACATGACCATATGCTGGATTATCCTACACAGAGCTCGGCAGGCTATGCTTTTCTGAAAATCCTACCTGCATTTCCATGATGGACATGAGATCTTGCCACTGCTGTTCCAAATCAAATGGTGACTCTGTCCCCGTCAAAAGAGGAGAGAGAAGGCTGTTCTGAAGGGCGGGGGACTCACTCTCACTAGGCACTGCTTCTGTGATGCTGGAAACGCCTGCTGGGAACTAAGGCACAACACAGGTTTGAATGTGAAGAGACCACCACTTGCTTCCTCCTAGTGACTACTATCTGGCTCCCTGCCTCAGCAGCCAGGGTAAGGTCAGAGCTAAGAACCAGCCCTGCACCTAAAGGGGTACATGTGTGCAGGTTGTGCTATTTGCTCAGTGGGCTCTCTGGTCCTGCTCACCTCTGCACTGTCTCCAAAGGGGCCGATGACCTCCAGCAGCCTATTAAGATACTTTTCCAATGACAGGGCTGTCTGTTCCTCCCCACCAGGCACCTGTGGCAATAACAACTGTCCACCTGACTAGCCTGGGTCCTGCTATCAAGGACGGATACCTCCCTCCTAAGCTGCTGTAGGTCTGCTGTGTCCCAGTCACTCTGAATGGCTGACCTGAGTCTCCTACCCCCAGGGACAACAGAAGGAATGCAGGAGTATTCTAAAATGCTAGACACTTTGCCTGTCTGCAATGTCTACTGCCAAGACTTCGTGTTTCTGAGTCCATGGCCCACTGTGCCTTTATAGACCCTAAGCAAAAATACATTCAGGTTCACTGCAAAGATACAACTCTCCTCCAGAGCAAGTTCTCTGGAAGAAGTCCAGCCTGGTGAGTCTGGGGAAGAGAGAGAGCAGAGAGCAGTGTCAGAGGCGCAGTACCTGTGCAGGGAAGCTCTCCCCTGTCTCTCCATCTACTAGCAGGTCTCGGGCCAGAGCTTCCGCGCCCTCGCCTGCCCAGGTGTTCTCTCGTTCTCCTCCATCTTGCAGTTCCTTATCCACATCCTGTTCCTTCTGGCGGTGACTGTAGTCAAAAACCTCACGCCCAGCCCCCAGATCAATATCCTGTCGCCAAAGGATGTCAATCAGATCTATATCCTGAAAGACAGATCAAGATGACTTTTAGGTTTCCAGTAGCCCCCACCCCAAGAGGAGAGCTCCCTGTCCTATGCCCTCAGAGGTCCCACCTACTGACACTCTACTTAGCCCTGGCAGGGCCACACCCGGGCCTGTGTCTGTTAGCCTTTCTCCCCTGCTTCCTCTGCACCAGCAGGCATCATTCATCCATTCCCAGGCAACCTTCCACCAAAAAATAAATAAATAAAAATAAAAAGAGTTATTACTAAATACTAACATATCTACCATCACACAGGTCTTCAGGTTTAGAATGTGGGCCAGAGTCACACCCAAGGTAAAGGGCAGGGCTGCATCACCCCTAACAAGGAAGAGGAGGAAGCAAGAGACCCCTTTCATTTTAGGAGCAGGAGACCCTGAAAACACAGACTGTCTGACCATGGCAAGCAAGGGCAAACTGCCCTGTGAAATTGCTTAGCAGTGACCAGGCTTGCATCAGCCTGTGGTGCCACTGCATTTGCATAAAGGGGTGGGGTGGCCTGGAGAGGAAAATCCCTGCATTTCCAACCACCTGATGCAGCCAATGACAAGATGGGCTGTCTCCAGCCCTTCCTATAGCCATTCCCCCTTCACAGGCTGACAGCTGGAGTAAGCTTGAACATCCACAACTATTAAAGGCCCAGCCTCACCTCAAGATCCCTGACAGAATTAACTGATCCTAGCAAGCTCCCTCAATGCCAAGGGAATCTCAGATAGTCAGATGATCCCCCATCAGTAGTACCCCACCCCTGCTTAGGCCAATCTCACCGCGTCCCCTTAGAACAATGCTACCTCCATCCCTCTCTCCCATACCACACCCGAGGACTCACCATCTCCCCATCAGTCAACCCACTCAAGGACATAACTCTCATTGCTGAGCTCGGACTGCAACCTTGGACATTAAAATGCCTCCTTTCACTTTGTTCTGTGACTCCTAGATAGTTCCTGCTCTAACTGCCACCCCCACTGACATCAGCACAGAACCCTAGTAGAGCCACTTGGACTCTACCCCTCCCTTTAGGAGTCTTCTCAACAAGCCGGAAGGGACCCTTAAGTGTTGCCTTCCTTTCAGGGATTTAAAAGCACACACTTTCCACTGAAAAGTATCTTTAGACCAAACCCACCACTCTACCCACAAGCAGGGGCTGTACTCTTTCCTACCACCCCATCCTAAGACCCCCCAAAACCTCCCATATGTACCTCTCCCTTAAGTCTCCCACCATACACCAACCTGAACAGAAGCCCTGGACCCAGGAGCAGAGGGGGGCTGGGCCACCCGGTGACCAGCCAGCCAAGAGTTAAGGGCCCTGTCTTTGGCATGGTCCCCACCACTGTGAGAGCTGCGGTCCAGGCGGGTCATGGTCTGCGAGAGGAGCCCCAGGGCAGCCAGTGCCGGTAAGCCGGACAGGGGGCTGCAAGGAGCTCGTGGCTTGCAGGAAGCACACCAGGCTGGAAGGGTGGCCCCTTGGTAGCTCCGAGGGGCCCGAGGAAGGTGCCCCGCCCGTGCTGCTGCCTGGGCGGCCCAGCCCAGCCCCCTTCCTCCATCCTGGAGCAGCCCCCTCCCACCTCACAACCCCAGTTCCACTCAGACGCCCAGCAGCCCCCACCCTGAGCTCACCGCAGAGGCTGCAGTGAGTCGGGACTCCCACCCCATGCTCCGTGCTCACGCTGCAGAGGAAAGGGAGCTCCCTTCTGGGCCTATCCTCCCGCTCCTCCCTCTCCCCCTCCCCACGCCCCCCAAACTTGTTACCTAGGCTGCCGCAAGGAGCCAATCCCCTCCCCCTCCCACCCCGCAGGTCACTGCTGAGGCTGCAGAGAGCCAATCCCCTCCCCCAGGTCAGCAGCTGGGGCTGCGGAAAGAGCCAATCCCCTCCCACTGTCGTTACCTAGGCTGCGCCGAGAGCCAATCTCCTCCCCCAAGTCTCCGCTGGAGATGCGGAAGGAGCCAATCCCCTCCCACCGCCTGTTACCTAGCTGCAGAAGGGAGCCAATCTCTGCACCAGGGCAGCTGGAGAAGCTGCCGCAAGGAACCGGCCCATCCCTGGGCCGCCTCCGTCTCCTTGAGGAGAAGCACCCAGGGGCGGGCAGCCCCACCCAGCCCAGTCAATCAGCTGGGGTGGTGCAGTGAGAGAGTCCTGGGGGGAAGGAGTGCCACTTTTCTCCCTCCTGTCGCATCTTGCTCTTCCAGCCCACTCTTATGACTGGGCAGACACTCCTCCAGAAGCTTCCCTGAGAAACTAAATTCTTTGCTGGGAAGTGGAAGTTTTCCCATTCCTTATGAAGGCTGTGACCAGTCAAGGCTAAGGACCACAAGCCAGGCTGGGCAGCAACCCAGAGCACTCCAAGTCAAAAAAAAAAAAAAAAAGCCCAGGAGCTTTGTCACCCTAAAACAGGCCAGCCTGGAGGAGAGGGGAAAGCCATTATTACATACATGCGGCATGTCAGTGCAGGCCATGCCTAGGTTCTAGCAGGAAAAAGTGGGAGACAAAATTCTCAAGTCCGCACTTAGGGAAATAGGTGCTCGGCAACCTCCTGGCACCAAATATGCCCGTTAGCCCCTTTTATTTTAGCTTTTTCAGGAACAATTTGGGGAAGGGCAGGAGGAGGAGAAGGCCCATTTGTGCCCTGACAAGCATCTCTCCTAGCTGGGGGTGAGGGGATAAAGCCTGCAGAACTAGGGTTTAAAATCCCACTTCTGCCTTCCTGCACTGCTTTCTCCTCACTCCACTCCCCAGAGCCTAAGGTCAGGCCAGAGACAGTGTGTTCTCCCTCGGTTACAGCTTCTCTAACCCGGGAGGAGCTGTAAACAGGCCACCCCTTGCTCTGGGCAGGGTGCCAACCTGGAGGGGAATCCTATCCCTTGTCAAGGGCCGAAGCTATGGCTGTCCATCGAACAGGCCTGGCACAGGGAGCACTACCACCCCAGGGATAATACCAGCTCCAGCAGTGCCTGTCACATGCTCTGGACCTGGGTATTTTTATCCCTGAGTTGCTGAGGAAATGTTGTTCTAGGCACATCATAATCCTCCCTTCCCTCCTCCCCAGCCTGGGTCCCTCACATATGACCCACCCAACTTCCTCAAGGGAGTGGTAAAATAAAGGCCTGGGGTCAGGGAAAACACAACATTCTTTATGGCCAAGAAAAGGAAATCGGGTACCAAGTTCCATCCCATTCTGCCTCAACAGACCCAGTTACATTCAAATTATTCTACAGTCCCAAAAGCCTCTCTGAAGGAACAGTATCAGTGCGAACACTGTAGCATTCTCAAGAAAAAACCTGCCCAGGCCACTGGGGCAGGAACAGGGAGGGTTCCTTCAGGTCACTGGACTTCAGAAGCTCATTTAAAAGACAGAGTAAGGAGAAGCAGAAAAAAGGTGAGGTTCCAAGTGACACTGCAAGAATCTAAGAGAAAGCCAAAGAGTGGAACATGCCCGTAATCCAAGCATTTGGGAGAGGCAGAGAAAGGGCAGAAGAACTGTCACAAGTTCAAGGCTACCCTGGTCTACATAGCAAAATCCAGGCCAGCCAGCCAGACGACCTCAAAAATGTAAAAAATTTAAAGGCTATAAGACAAAAAGCCCTGATAGGCAAAAAATGCTCATGAGCCCCATGATGAGAGAACCCCAGCTTCTCTCACACAGATGCGGGGTAAAGGATAGCCGATTTTTGAGTGCTTTCTCAATCTCAATCACTAACAAATCGGGGTGAGAGAAACTTAGTTTGAGGCTGCCCTGCACTGTACCATTCCTGGCCTTGCCTATCAGGTGCCAGTGGCATCCCTTACCACAGCTAGGACAAAAATCACCCCTAGATGAGGACCATGGACCTAATACAAGCCATATTCCCTGCTAGTCACTAGTAAGCCAGACAGCTGAGATAATGAACAGGCATACTGCAGGGAGACAAAACGGGGCCTGAGATGTTGGGCAAAGGAAGTCAAGCTCTGCAGGCAGCTATATTTCACACTAATGAACCTAGTGCCAGAGAGCTGTGGGTCTATCCTAGGGCTAGTGGCAAACCACAGCTGTTTCACTACCTAGGTCAGACAGGGGCAGCAGTAGCCATTTGCATCATTAAAGGAAAGGAACTGCATCCTTTTCTACCCAGAAATTTGCCAGCCCTGGGCCAGAAACTAAAAATCACCTCTGACAGCTCAGAACAAGCTGACCTGAGCAGAGTACCGTTCTCTTCTAGCTTCCAGCCTTTTCTGCTCAGGGCTTTAGCAAAGAATGGGAGCCTTGGCCTCTACTGGCCAAGAATAACTATCCATGTCTACCCCTTGGCTCAGGCCCAGGAGAGTTACAGAGAACTTAAAACAGCAAGCCTGACCGCAATGGAGAACTTTAGGGGACAGTATTCATGTTTAGTGTTGGGGGTGTACAGAGAAGAGAGGCCACAGTACGTGCCTAAGCAACAATCTACACTCACTCAAAGCCCATTACAACATGGCCCTCCCCCACCTAAAGCCTCTAGCAGCCATACTGAAATCTAAGCAGCAGAAGCCCTGCTATGCTCTGGGAACCACCTGCCCTGACAGGTGGGCCAGTGGCTCAAAACACAGAAATGCTCCCAGCTCCCAACCCAGAAGCCATGGAACTTAGCCCATTCCTACCCAAACAGTGCCACAGCTCCAACCCCCTGACCCGAACCTATTTGGTTCTCCAAAGGACTCAGAGTAGAGTCAACAATCCTTCAGATCAGCCCATTCCTTCCCAATGTCCACCCACCACCAGGGCCACTAACCTCTTTGGTTAAGTCTCCACTGACAGGAGGGGCTACAGCCCCCAAGTCCTCCAAATCTTCACTGAATCCCTGCTCCGTTTCGCTTTCTCTCACCCCGTTGTCTGGGCCTGTCACGTCTTGGAGACCACTGGAACTCTCGAGGGCGAGGCCTGTGTTGGGCTGGTTGCCAGAAACAGACCCCTCCGGGTCCCGGTGAACCAGCCAAGCATTTACCTCAGTGGTAGGCACCTGGAACCTATCCAGGGCCCTCACCTGACTAAGGAGTCGTCGCGCAGTGAAGTAATTGTCCAGGTCTATGCTCTTGGGGTGGATACCATAGCCATCCAAGGTATTCCTCAGGTTGTGGAACTGGGTCTGCGTATAGGCAGAGCTGGGCCCCAGGATGATCTCCCGGAGTGGGGGGAGCTGCGAGGTCAGGTAAGTATCCACGTCCACCCGAACCCCAATCAGACTCAGCAGAATGGTGAACTGGAGAAGTCCTTCCGTTAAGTATTTCTTCAGAGAAAGCATTGCTGAAGGACCAGAATGCTTATGCTTTTTTGTTTTTAAATCTTCCACAAGACAAATCAAGGCCACTGCTCTGCCACTTGAGCCAGCGCGTTACCCTCCGCAGTGCAAGACCCTGTACCCCAACCCTGGCACAGCACAAGGGCTGAGCTCCCCGATGCCCCAGAGGAAAGCGTACCCTGTGGAGCGAAAGCCACAGTCCAGACCACATTCACTTGTCCCTTCTTGACACCTCACCTCTCAAAGTTGAGCTGTTACAGACCCAGTGCAGGCACTCGGGCTCTCCACTGACTGCCTCCACAGTCCACACACAGTCACCTCCTCACTCACATCCGCCGTCCTCTCTGCAGATCCCACTGAGGCTGTTCGCAGGAACAGCCGGTGGAGTTCTTCCTTTCCTTCTTTTTTTTCCCCCTTCTCCTTCCTAAGGTTTATTTTCTTTGGCTGGAGCTACAGGTCTTTGTCTTGGGTCAGAGTGTCCCGCCTCCTCTGCACTTACCAGGGGGGTTTCCAGAGAAACCTGAAATGGGAATCACAAGAGCAACAACGTAAGATTCCATCCGCTTTACATCACGAGCAGGGTAAAAACCTTCAGAGAGACACACTGGAAGGGGAAAACAAACCGACCTGTTGTACCAACCACAAAAGAAAGGAAAGGGGCACCCTCAGTTACTAAACATTAAATTCCTTCCACTTTTAAAAAACAGCTTTCTCGGAAGAGGCAGACACTGCGCAAGGCATTCAGAATTTACCAACACTCTTAAGAGAACACATTACCCAGTTTCTATTTTTAGCACAAGAAGCCCATTTCCTATCTTTAAAAAAAGTTGGGTTTCCCATGTCATTATCCTTTCCAACTCTAAAGAGCAAGGAGAGATCAGATTGTTAATGGAACACCGTGAAAAATATATGGGAATGTTCAGGCCTCCATTTCACGTGCCCTTTTGTTTTTCCAACTTTGAAAGCTAATCTCCCTTTCCTATCGTTCTTGCGTTAAAAAGTAAATAAATAAAAGACCAGCCTAATAACACAGGCCACTCAGAAAGCTGAACCGTGAAAATCGGGAGTTTAAGACCAGCTTGGACAAATTAATGAGACCGTTTAACAGTATAAGTAAAAAAAAAAAAAAAAAAAAAATTAAAGGGCAAGGATACAGATCAGGGGTGCCTGGTTAGAGGCCCTGGAGGTTCAATCCTCAGCACGGCAAAATAGAGGAAGGGAGGGGAGGAACAGGAGGGCAGTGGAGGATGGTGGGGCCCTGCTCCAGCTGGAATTTGAATTCGCAGGTTTTATCTTTATTCGCATGACCTTCTGAGCCAAAGCAGAAGGCTATGGCCAAGTCCTCAATCCGAGCTGCCAAGTGGGGAGAAGGTAAATTTGCCTTTCCGTTTCTGGTTCCTACTTCTGAGCTTCCATTAATCTCATAAAGGAACTCCTCCGTCGCGACCCACTACAAAGGTGAAGTGGGAGTCTTACACGTACGAGGAGCACACACCCACGAAAACCCTCATTCGTGGCTGAGTAAACATTGCCCGCTTTGGAAACCCGCCCGTCCTCACGCAATCTCAACTACTAAAACTTCCCAGGGCCCCAATTCAGTTTTAAGAGAGCGGACAAAGTTCTTCAACGCCCAAGAAGGCCACCGAGAGAGAGAGAGAGAGAGAGAGAGAGCGCGCGAGCGCGCAAGCCCCGGTTCGAGTCCGGTCCCACCCTGCTCCCTACCCGAGTCTGGCTGAGACCAAGCTGCCATGCCCACTCTCGGCGCCGCCGCGGCTCCTAGCTTTCTGGGACACCAGGCGACAAGTGCTGCCTTCCCGGCCCCGACCCACCCTTAAGAGCGGGCCTCACCCCGCCCTCCGCCCCCGAGGCCCCACCCCGCCCTCCAGCCCGGCCTCGCCACGCCCTCCCAAGCCCTCGGCCCTTCCCGGTCCGGCCCACCCGGACACAGGCTTTCCCTTCGGCCCCGCATTTCTCTCCCGCCGTGCCCGGGGCCCGAGCCCGAGCCCGAGCCGGCCTGGCCCTCCCGGGTTCCCGCCTCCTGCCCCTCAACCACATCTCGCCCGCCCCTCGTCCCACGAAAGCCTCGGCCCCGTCGCGCGGCGGCCCTCTCGCCAGGAAAGGGAAGATGGCAGGTACCCGCTGCTGAGGTCGCGGTCCGCCGCTGCCGCCACAGCAGGCCCTCAGCCCGAGTCCCGGCCTCGCCGCCACCGTCGCCGCCGCCGCCACCTCCGGCCGGCCTGGAGCGCCCAGCCTCGGCTTCCCTCCCCGCCCCCTCCTCCCACCGCACTCGGAAACCCGCCCGCCACGGCCACCCGCCCCCCGAAGCAGCTGCTCCAATCAGCTAGCCGGGAGTACTGCCGTCACCGGATGTCGCTTTGATTGACAGCGACGAGAAGCCAATAGCCGAGTGTGTCCACGCCTCCTCGGCGCCGTCTTCCCGAGATTGGCGTGGGGGCGGTCCAATGAGTGTACAGGTCCGCCCCGCGGTACGGCCCCGCCAATGAGTGGGGCGAAGGCCGTGGTGCCCGGCGTTCTGAACTCCTCCGCCGCGGCTCGGGGGCGGGCGGTGTTAGAAGTCAGGGGCTGCTGGTTCATTGTGCGCCTAGGAGTGAGGTCTCTTAAGGCAGAGGAAGGGGCATTGCCGCGGGAGCCCGGAATTCCGTCCTTGAGGGTTCCCACCGTGACTTGCAAAAGTCCAATGAGATCTGAGGGGCCCGAGGCGGAGCATGGAGCATGTGGCTCTTGTGGTGGCGACGTTCGTGTCGCCATCTTGGGTGCTGGCAACGGAAGCCGGTACCCCCACCACCGCAACTCTTGCTTTGGGGCCTGGTGGTCGGGCAGAAGGGGTGGCATCTTGTGGCCCAGGCTAACAGTCAGATCGCGGAAACTGCCGGCAGATAAAATTGTCATGGCCCTAGTGGAATGTTGGTAGCGTGAGAGATGGGACCTAGTAACCATTTTTGCCATCAGAGGAACACACACACACACACACCCTGCTCTAACCTCGCACACAGCTTAGTTTTTGCTTTTCAGGAACGTTCATTCGTTGCCAGAGTTCACCAAGCTCATGCACGACTACCACCAAACTCTTTTTGTGACTCAAATATTTATTAGTATGCCCTCGGCATTGTAAGCCTCTGAGAGCTTCTTGTTCAGCAGCTGTGGATTAGGGCCCAGGTTTTAACGTTCCCTCTTGGGTAATTCTAATGAGGCTGATCCAAAGACCACAATTAGAAAATCTCTGTATTGGAGTTTGTACTGTGGGGCAGAGGTGAGGTGCCAACTGAGTTCTTGTCTCCTTTTAAGAGGCCATAGCCTAGTTGACAAGTTTGTTATTCATTGGACTTGTGCAATTAAGGGCAAGGCCAGATGACAGCACAACAGATAAATTCTTGCTGGGCCTGAAGAGTTAGCCTGAATATGAAGAGGTTCACAGGATTTCCTGGAACTTAGGGCAAGCCTCCTCAGGCTTCAGCTGCCTAAAGGCTCTACACAGCTGCATCTCGCCCCTCTCAGCTACAGCCCATTAACGCAGTCAAGGGCCAGATGGGCTTACAGGCACATGCTTGTGATCCCAACACTCACGAAGCGGAGGGATCACTGCAAGTTTGAGGTCACCCTGGCTTGCATAATAAGCTTCAACCCAAATAGGGCCACATGGCAACAGCTTATCTAAAAGTAAAAACAACAATCAGAAAAGTAAAACAAAACAAACAGAAACCTAACAGCAAAAAAATGATCATGGCCCTGAGTTCAATCCCTAACAACCCCCCCCTTTTTTTTGGGGGGGGGGGTTTGTTGTGACAGGGTTTCTGGACTAACTTTGTGGGCCAGACTGGCCTCGAACTCACACAGTGAGTGGCCGGCCTGCTTCTGCCTCCCAGAGTGCTAAGATCTCAGGCCTGTACCACCATGCCCGGCTGTCAAATCCTAAAAAGGGAGAAGAAGAGGGTCAATTATTACAAGCTTTTGAAACTACCTCTTTTTTTTTTTTTTTTAAAGCTCAATTCCTCACTTGGGCTCACAAGATAATTGAAAGCAGAATAAAAGCCCAGAGACTCTCTCTTCATTTTATGTCTATCTTGTTTAGTTAGCTGCCTTCCAGACCCCTAAAATGTTCCCCAGTACTGAGGCAATTCTGTATGATGGGAGGGATAAACCCTGACGAAGGAGTACTACTGGGACTGTTTTGTCAAGCTTTGAAAACAACGCTTTCTTCAGGCCACACCAGACCTGAAAGGATTAGCCAGACCTCACCTTGTCCAAGACTGCTCCATTAGGCCTGCCTTTTGTCTATTGTCTCAGTTCTTATCCCGTTTAAATCTAAAGCAATTGCTCCCAATCTTCCTAATGCCATGACCCTTTAGTACAGTTCCTTCTGTTGTAGTGACCCCTCCCCCCAAAAAAAAAATATGTTGCTATTTCATACCTGAAATTTTACTACTATTATGAATCATAATGAAAATATCTGTGTTTTCTAATGGTCTTGGGCAGGCCCTGGGAAGGAGTCCTTTTTAACCCCCAGCGGAGTCATGACCCACAGGTTGAGAGCTGCTGGTCTAAAGTTCATGTCAGTACTTTGAAGAAAAACTCAGTTTCACTGGCCTGCTTAAATTGTTCCTCTTTACAATAAACCATGTCAATTAACTATGGCTGTGCCAGTTACTTGCTGTGGTTTGAATGAGATGTTCCCCCATAGTTTTTGGCATTTGAGTACTTGGTCTCCAGTTAAAATCTATTTGGAGAGTCCTGGGCATTGTGGCCTTTCTGGAGAAAGTATGTCAGTCACTGGGGCAGGCTTTGAGGTTTCAGAAGACTTTCCATTTCACATTCACTTTCTCTGTTTCCTGTTTGCTGTTAGAGATGTGGCCTCAGCTCTCAGCCTCCGGCTCTGGTTTGCCATGCTTGCCTGCTAGCACACCTCCTGCCATGGTGGTAATGGGCTCTTTTCCCTCTGAAACTGTAAGCCTCAAATCCTTCTGTAAGTTGCCTTAGTCATGGTGTTTAATCACAGCAATAAAAAAAAAAGTAACTAATACACTCATCTCTTTAGCTGACATATTGGGCTGGATCCAAGAGCCTGGCCTTTTAGGGCTGTCGGAGCCCAAACTTTTGTCCTAACATTATAACCAAGAATTCATTTCCACACTTTGAAAGAGGAAAACAAGAAAAAAAAAGACCATTTAGCCACTAAATTATTGAGACCCGAAAGATAAATACTGCTATTAGTGAAAAAAGGAAAACTAAACAAACAAAGAGAAAACCATAACCAGCACGGCAGTATGGAGTGACATTGTAACGTGTCATGTGCCATTTGAGTTCACTGAGAAGACAGCTACTAAAGCTGAGAGTCTCCTACCCATGCTTCAGATCCAAACATGTTATGTCAAGCATCTCCAAGACCCCTTGTCTTAGGTTCGGTATACCCCACCCGGAATTCCGACAGGGAGGGAAGAAAACAGTAAAACAGCCCAAGAGTAAAATCACTGTGCCCTTCAGAGCAGCCTGAAGGTAACCAGTAGAGGTTACCATTGTTACGGTACAAAAGTGCCCACAACAGAGCGTGGTGGCCCGGGACTTCAATCCCAGCACTCAGGAGGCAGAAACAGGAAGACCTCAGCTTGAGGCCAACCTGGTCTACATGAAGACAGGTTCCAGGACTCCAAAGTGAGACCCTGTCTAACACACACACACACAAGGGGTGGACAAGATGATCCAGAGGGTGAAGGACTTGCCACCTGATGATGCAAAGCCTTACAACCTGAGTTCCGTTCCCAAAATCCACAGGGAGGTAGAAGAGGAAAATTAAGAGAGAGAGTTGGAGGGAATGAATTCAGGCTCAGAATAATAAAAATAACAAACACACACACACACACACCCCTTTGGTTTCTTTTTTCTTTTTTTCCAAGACAGAGTTTCACTGTATACCTCTAGCTGCTTTGGAACTAGCTCTATAGACCAGGCTGGCCTCGAACGCATAGAGATCTTCCTGCCTCTGCTTCCCAAATGCTGGGATTAAAAGCGTGTCGCCACCGTGTCCCAGTTTTAATTAGAGTTTCTGTTGCTGTGAATAAAAAAGCAACTTGGGGAGGGAAGGGTTTATTTGATTACACTTCCAAATCACTCCTCCTCACTGAAGGAAATCGGGACAGGAACTCAGACAGGGCAGGAACCTGGAGGCAGGAGCTGAGGTGGAGGCCATGGAGGGGTGCTGCTTACTGGCTTGCTCCTCATGGCTTGTCAGCCTACTTCCTTATAGAACTCTGGACTAAAAGTCCAGGGATGGCCATTAAGAAAATGTCCTACGGGGATTCCTACAGCTTGATCTTTTTTGTTTTGTTTTGGGTTTTTGTCTGTTTGTTTTTTGAGACAGGATATCTATGTGTAGCCCTGGCTGTCCTGGAACTCTCTCTGTAGACCAGGCTGGCCTTGAACTCAAGAGATCTGCCTGCCTCTGCCTCCTGAGAACTGGAATTAAAGGCATGCACCACCATGCCCAGCTCCTACAGCCTGATCTTTTAGAGGCATTTTCTCAGTTGAGGCTCCCTCCTCTATTATAACGATAGCTCAGTAGTTGTTAAAAACTTGTGGGTCACAGCCCCTTTAGAGGTGGGAACACTCTTTCACAGGAGTCGAATAGCAGACATCCTGTATCTCACATATCTATAACAGTTGCAAAATTACAGTTATGAAGTAGCAATGGTATAATTTTCTGGTTGGGAGTCATCACAACATACAGGAACATACAGGAACAATACAGGAACTGTATTAAAGGGTCACAGCATTGAGAGTCACTGCTCTAGCTTGTGTCAAGATGACATAAAACTAGACAGCAATATATATATTGTGTATATATGCGTGTGTGTGTGTATATATATATATATATATATATATAATATGTACATACATAGATATAAAATTCTCAAAGAATGTAAGTAATTAAGAAAAAGTAATAATTATTAATAATTAATTAGTGGCCAGGCAGTGGTGGCACACACCTCTAGTCCTAGCACTTGGGAGGCAGAGGCAGGTGGATCTCTGAGTTTATGGTCAGCCTGTTCTATAGAACAAGTTCCAGAACACCCAAGGACAGCCAAGAAAAAGAAAAAGGAAAAGAAAAAAGAGATTTAGATGTAACTATTAACCACAAAGTAAATCAAGAATTTGGATGTATTTTAAAATTCATAGCAGTGGGGGCTGGAGAGGTGGCTCAGCCACTCAGTGGATAAGAGCACTGGCTGTTCTTCCGG